TGTTTCTTCTTGTACTTTCATAGAGTGTGAAAGCCTACTCACTTAGGAAAAAAGTGAAAGTCTCCACAACCATACCACAACATTACAGGATAATACAATAACATCGACTCTCTTTTCATGAATCAATTCCATCCGTCTGCAAGCAAGTGGCATCCATCCCATTCGTAGGACTCCCAATGAAAATAGCAAAATTAAGGATAAGAAATAAGCAATCTATTCGTTCGGCCATCTTTTCAAAGTTTATAATCTATTTGCATCGCTATTTGTGTAAAGTCTGATTTCTAGCTGTAGGATAAACGAAATAGCACAGGTTCATCGGGATTGAAGAAGAATTAGCCGAGGACTTTTCAGCATTCCTCTTTCCGGTTCTGGGGAGGCCATTTCACGAATTCTTTTCAGTCAACGCTTCTTTCGAACTGAACAGTCGAGTCACACAAAGCCTACCTCTGTCCGACATGGTCTCCAGCTCCAATGCGAGAAAGTCGTCTGGCCGACCGGAACTGAGTGGGTAGTTGCCAGCCCAGGCAGTGGCATCAGCAACGTATGGCCGAGACCGCATCCCTCCGGCAACCGGATAGCGTCTCGAGGGCGGAGGGTTAACACTGATAAGAAACTGGCTGGCTGGATCCTCGTCATCAGTCACGTTACCGTGTGCTGGTGGCAGAGCATCGTAGTAGGAAAGATCGGCGTGACGCGTGCTCCGCCGCATCACCAGTTCTGCGTGTCCACAGCTCGGGATGCCGGGACTCGAGCCAATGCCCAGTCTACGCCGTCGTGGTAGTTCTGCCTCCAGCTTTGCCTCGTTTACAAACTCCTCCAGCTCCGTCCCACACAAATCTGCTTCCTCCACACGTACTTCTTTTCCCCTGCCCTCTCCGCCATCCACTTCATCCTCCTGCTCATCTTCACACTCCAGCTCCAGCTCCTCCCCTTCAGAGCTGCTCAATGACAGGTGGTGGGGTCGGTGCTGACGTACGGTCTCGCGGTACCGAGGAGGAATGGGCGTATAGTAAGCACCGGCTAGAACGTGTCGTTGGCTATTGGCACCACGATGGGAACGAACATTACCTGAAAAGTTGGCAAGAACAAAATTTGTCGCAGTTTTCAGTCTAATTAAATTG